TTATTTGTAATATATAAATGAAATGTTCAAAAATATTTGTGATGTAGGTGTAATGATATTAATACCTCAGAAGCATGAGATCTCATGGCTCTGTACATTCGTGTTTGTTCTGCTGAGCAGGCCCAACTCAGTTACATGGGCAGTTGCAGGTAATGCAAAATAACTGTCTTAGAGCAGTAGCTACTGCTGTAGGCAGATGGACTTCTCGTTTTGTGCCTGTGACAAAAACTAAAATAGTATTTCATTGACAAAGTAGACTACTTCGTTTTGGATAAGGGGAACCTAAATTTAAAAAGATCAAAGGAATCAAAATGTTCCATGCATAAAGCTTGTACAATACATCAGTTACTTTAGTAATGTATTTTTAAATATGGGAGTTCTGATGACAGTGAAAGGATACTTCTACATCTCGTGAAATTAAAACCTCCTGCTATTAAGATGCCTTAAATAGGTCTTCAAGTTTCCTTCCTCCTTTTAGGAAATTAACCATGTTTATACTATTGTAACGTCTAGCAGGAAAACACCAGTGATTTTGTCCTTTTTTAGAACTTTGTGGAGTCTACTACGTGTGAATAGACTCTGCTTAAATTGTCTTAAAAGACTAAACACTAGTCTCATTCTTGACATTCTTAAGCATCCAACAGTCCACTACAACTTCTGTTGTACCTTCTAGGCTTACATATATTTGAGTTTTTTCCTCCCAGTTGGCTCCAAGCTAGAGGTATATCCATTTGCACAAATGCTTCTTAACCTTGTTCAGAGAGCTTTTTTTTTTCTTGGTAGTTTCTGCTTCTTTATCTGTTGTATGCTTTTATAATGCATTTAGAAGTTGTGGACTTTTCTGCATAATAAAGCTCAACGTCAGAAAAGAAACACAAATTCTAGCTTGGGCAAAATTATGATTGCATAAGATCTCTTGTGCACTTGTATACTACACTCTTATACTACTTGTGTTAACAGACCAAGTGATAGATTAATAAATTGTTCTTATCTTTATAAAGTTGGCAGAGGGAAGCTATTTAAATAGCACTTCTTTGGTATATTGTAAAGACTTAAGGTTCCTGACTTCAGTTCTCAGTTCTGCAGGGCAACTTTTTCTAACTATTAAAGACGTTTTTTACAAGTTTTGTGATATCAGATGTCACATATAAAATTTTCTCATTATACTCCCAGACAAGATTTTACTGAGTGGGTCTGACAAGTGGCGCACTAGTTGTGTCCAAAGAAGGCGTTAAATTTTGTTGAGTTTTGCCTTCCTTTTTCCCCTTCTAACCAGCTAGGCTTACTGAGACTGCCACTTCAGTTTCACTCTTGGTGCAGCCCTCCCTACTCGTGCTCAGTGCAAGTCGTGTCTTAGGTGACTAAGGAAACTCGAAAGGCCGTTGTTAGCACTGTGATGCTGCATATCACATTGCGTGCTCCAAAAGCACAGAGACACTGGAAACTCGAATGCATTTGTTAACTTATTTTCTCCTACATTTGTTCTGAGAAATAGGTTAAACAGGGTAAATGGAACACTATCTGACTTTTAGTTAAACTTATTTTTAATATAGTCATCTTTCTTTAACACTGCACACTCAACTAGTTTAATATCAAACGTAGTCTAATTTTCACATCGCTTCTCTTGTCATGCAGGTCCAGAGCTGTATTTTCTATATAATCAGAACTGTTCATTCAGTAGAATTAAAACGTTTGTCTGCTTTCGTCTGCTGCTTCTAGCATTAGTTAGGATTTCACAGCCACAGTTTACCTAAAATACTGTTCTGATATCATGTATCGTTAGCTGAGTCCTGCTTATTTCTTTTTCTGTATTAGCCTTTTCAAAGGCAATTGTCAAAAAAACATAAAATAGGCTTTGTTTCTGCTTGCACTGGAGGCAGCTTGCTGAAGTTCATTAATCATTTGAGGTAAATAAACAGAATTTGCCACTTTTCTGATGGGAAGTAGGTCTGACTAGTATAACCAGGGAGCAGATATGTTACCAAAAAGTGCTGTTAGCACATAGTACCGCTTGTATTACAGAACACATTTAGTTTAACACATTTTTGTCAAAAACAGTCAGCCTTTTTATACTAGGTTTTGTATATTTCAAATTTAAAAACCCAATAATCTGAAATCAATCATTACTTTAAAAGAGATTGAGCAGTTATATAGGATGCTTTTCCTAAGGAATACTGAGTCACTCTGGGGCAAGAGACACTGAGAGAGAGGCCTGGTGATAAGTCTTTTTGGGTGTCCAAATACCTGTCTCAGGAAGACATTACTGTGGATAGAACCAGTGGAATAAACTATTAGATTAGTGCAGATTTGTTCACTTTAAGGTACTGCATAATGCATTTGCAATTTTTTGCTCTGCTCAAGGAAGCTGCAGTTTTCAGAATATCCTTTTCATCTGCATCTTTGTCTTATGTCAGCGACGTAAGAAAAACTTCTTAGCCTCCATATCACAAGTGAATTCAGTTGCAGGAGGAAGAACAAGGTCACTAAAAAAACTGATTTCAAGATTCCACTTCCAATACTGAATGGCTAGAATAGGTCTAAGAGCCAGGAATTTGCAGGCTCCTGCTTGTCAGTTTTTGAGTAATCACCTTTTTTTTTAATAACTAACCACTAAAGACTAATTAGTCACATTCTGTGCTATCTTCTATTTCAAAGTGTCTAATACTATCAAGTAGTAGTATGTTCTAACATTGGCTGCTAAATGCAGACTCACCCCTCTTGGCTCCATACCTAGTGACTACCACTAGCAAATCTCAGCTTCAAGTTTTAAGGTGAAGTCAGGATCTAGTCTCCTGTCCATGTATAATGTCCATTATTGGGCACAACCATATGCAGTAAGATAAAAATGGACCTCAGGAAAACCAATGAAATATGAAAGTGGTGAGTGGATATACAGTATCCTCTTACATACCCGTTTGTAGGAATAAAAATGTCAGTGAATGCATGCATTAGGCTGCTCTTCCCTGACTTTCAGAATCTCTAGCAGCCCACTGTCCTAATGTTGAATTAGATATACTAAATAACCAGGTGAGATAAATGAGAGTGACCTATGCCAAATACCTCTGCTGCAGACCAGTATTTTCATTTAATCTTTAAAACTCAAGAAGATTTTAAACATTGAATGGTTTCCTTTTCTCCCACTTGAAATAAATGTAGCGTAGCAGCTTCCTCTAACAGCAGTAGTAGTTCAAATCCTCCAGCACACGTCTTAGGAAATAAATGGTTTCAGTCTTCCATTTGTTTTTCTGGCAGCTGTAATTTTGTTGTTTTTCTAGCTGTTTATATGAGCCACCTCGGTGTTCTAATTACTTCATATGTACTTCAGCATTTTAATAAGTCTGTAATTCAATAAACATGGGGGTGGAGCCCCCAAAATTTTATTTTTCTTTCACTAAGTATAATACTTATACTTGACATTGATAAGCTTCGGTTACATTTCAACAGAGCATTCTTCTGCATGCTGTCAAAGACTTTACAGCTGTGTGGCATTAAATGACATATTCTAGAGAGACTATAACACCTAATAAAAGGGGATCAAGAATCTGGGAATGAATCTACAGCTGTAGAGATTTGTAATAGAAATAACAAGACTGGCATGAGCGAAGTATGAAAGGAGATATGTCTAGGCACCAGCAGGAACAGCAGAATAGTGGGTTAAAAGCGTGGCCTGTATCGGTAACGAAGGAGAATATTCTGTTCTGTTTATCTCAAGACTGAAAGATGTGCACTCTGAAAAGGTCACAATACAGGTGACCTGTCAGCAAAAGACTATGCATCCAAACACCAAGAGGATGGCAAAATGGTTGCAGCATATCAGCTATGCCTTTCCTTTCCAGTTAGCCAATCACAAAAACACATGTTGAAAACAAGGTAAAACAGACAATGGGTGCAGGTGAATGAATTATATGAGAATCAGTGTGAGCCACTAAAATCAATTTGCTTAAATAAAGATTCTGCAGTTATGTACCACCTTCTACTTCCATAAGATCTGACAGTGAACTCTTGTCAGACTGATTTCTGTACGTGTTATGGTAATGTCCCCTTGTTATGCTAATCAACCACCACTCCATATAGAGGTCCATATCATAACTCCTCCATAGGGGGCAGAGATTTTCATGACTTGATCCATTCATTTAACTGTTGTATTAATTCTTAGTTGTGTCATAATAATAAAACTGCATGTAAGTCTATATGCAAGTACATAGATTATCATTTCCTTGTCTCCCAAAATTTTTCTAGTTACCTGTTTTGCTCTACAAGCAGGGACTTGTACAGCATCTCATTCTGTGGGGTTAAAGCTTTTCTGAGGACCCGCATGTACTACTGCAGTAAAATAATCATAAAATCATCCTTTAGTAGTTATTGCTAAAGAACAGTTTATTTCATGGAAAATCACATGAAGAACAAAGGTTTGGAGGGAAAAGGGAAGGAGAAAGGATAAAAAAGTGTGCTTTAAATCCTTAAATATTATGTGAAAATGAGGAAATAAAGTGCTGACCCGAGACAAGGATGGTATAGACTTGGCATGAGTTGCAATACAACTCCACGCTGGTAAAGCACTTGAATATTGGCTTTCAGCCACACACACCAATCCCGAGCCACAGCACTAGAGAAAGAGACAGCTAGAAAGGCTCAGTTACAATGTGGCTGTGCTGTAACATGCAGACATGGAAATCTGGAATTGTCATTTCACAGGATTCATATCAAGTCCTCTGAACGACATGGCTAGGGCAGCAAACTACTCTACCTTTTGAGCTCCCCGGTAAATATGTGACAGAGAAACAAGTATCAGTGTTCTTCGCTCATATCGCAGTAACATTAAAAGACGCTGTATAATACATATCGTGTTCTCTTGAACTGGTCACCCAGACCCAGGCTCACAACCCCATAGTGTCTTAAGTACTACAAGTCATCCACTGAGAGGACAAAACATTAGATGCCACCTGGGAGCTAGTTCTGTTTGATCTTAGACACTAATCACAGCAAAAGCTTAGAAGTTTGCTCCTACACAGTTACATATTCTTACAAATTTAGCTTGGGCTTCTGCCAAAAGCGGAAAGATAGTTGGTAGCTCCCCAGCCAGTTGGCCTCCACTGTCCCACTGCGCTTAGCAGGCTTGCCATGACCAGTAACGTGATTACCACTGCCTAACAGACTGCTTTACAGTAAATGAAGGAAAAGAGGACAGGCGCTAAGGAATCGATGCTACTTAGAAATTGATGACTGGCAGTATTAACCAAAGAGGCCTGATAAATGTGAAAGCTTTCAAATACAAATTAAGCGTGGGGCTAAACATTAAAATGCTTTGCTATTGCCATCAAAATCTGAATTTTCTACCCAAGCAAGCTATCTTAAATCCAGAGCAGTCTCAAAATTGTCTTGTCTGGAGTTCCTCTACATTTACAGAGATTAAAAACAACAGTAGAATTTCACTCCAAATTTGTTACTTTTCAACTGACGTTAGAAGGCTTACCAGGCTTCTGCCTTGATATCTATTTGGCACATATTTTATCTCAAATCAAAAGGTAAACACTAGGAGGAAAAAAAAGCCTGCTAAAAGAGCCTGGTTTTCCAAGAACTGTATCTCCCAGAGGTTGTACATTATAAACTGAGGGGAGTAATGTACAAAAACAGATTTAAACTTTCTAATTCCCCTCACACAGCTGGACCATTTGTCATCAGGCTAGGTGACCTGAGGGATACTCTGACTCATGGCGGCCACCAGCAGTTGTCAGAAGTAGGACATCATGTACCTACAAGGGAACGGCCTTGAGGTACAGCCTAGCCTGGGTGACGACAGAAACTGCTCCACTGGCTGTGCATCAGCTCAGGACCTACCACGCTCCTTATATCTTACCGCCACAAGAGTTGTCATGCTGCCTTGCCAGACAAAGCAGGTTATAGCAGCCCAGCACAAAGAATCAGTTTCCTAGATTGTCACCAGGGATAAAGAGTCTTAATTCAGGTGTTACTAATTTACAGAGCCTGAGCAATACATTGTTAAAGTTTAATGAAGCTGTGAAAGCAGCCAAATGCTCACAGCCATGCCATGGGTGCCTATGATGTTCTCACCTGCCTATGTGCATGTGCTCAGTTCTGTGCAGGATCATCAACATCTGTGGCAGGTAGCAAGGCAATAATGAGGAGTTTGAATGAGAGGCATTGCATAGGCAACTACCAAAAATGTAAAGATCTCATCCAGCTGTGTAACAGCTCTGTTTTGAAGTCATCAAAAAGGGGGTTGTTTAAAAACAAGCAAGCACATCTGACAAACCCTGTCAACTTCCTGAAAGCCCCATGAAACAGCCAGTGTAACCATATCACCAAGAAAAAGAGAAGCTGGTCCAGGCACCAGCTTGCAAGTGAAGCTCCAGTAGAAGCACTCGCTGAGGAGAGCAGGGAAGGGGTTTGGGGTTTTACTCTAGTGGTAGAGGGAAGGACACTTTATCACCTACTGATACGTAGGTTAAATATAGTTTGGCCAACTTAGCTGCAGGAGATGAATCTGAGAAAAGCTAATTGAGAGATAGGTGCCTCTTAACAATTCTGTTTTGAAGTTCATGTGAAGTAGTGATGCAAAAAACCATCATGGGTAGATCTTTGATCATAGGGGCAAGAGTTCAGTTACATTCACAGACATCTTAGGGAGCTGACAAGACTGACCAGAGGATGGAACAGGAGATGCTACAGACGAGCAGCACAACCTATTTATGTATGTTCCTCAAGGAGAATTACCTAATAGGTAAAATACATCTGAGTGCTGCTAAGAATTTGCTTTAGGAAGTGTATTTAGACCTGCTGCAGTCACTCAAAATATAAGGACTAGGATATACAGGACATTGGCGTATGTTAAAAGCCAAGATGTTCAGTACAACAGTGAGAAGTCAGTAATATAATTAGCATTGATTTGAACAATTTTCAGGAATCAGTTTTCCATCAAAATATGATATTTGTCAAAATCAACCCATTCAATAGCAAAAGCTGTGATTTCAAATGCATTTTTAAGGAAAAAGTATTTTACTATTAAAGCAATGCGTATGACACTTTTATTTCAAAATTAAGCAGACTTAATTGCAATGTTGGTATTACAGCAGTTTTTATTTCCTTTCATATACATTATATAGAACATACACAGAGAAAAGATCTATACTAGTGCTTCCAACGTAATTTTTCTTGCAGAAGTCCCAGTAACAAATAAAGCAATTCAAAACGCTGGCATTTCTTTGGAAGGGAAGTTCATGCTCCCAAACAGCCCTATATAGAAGGCGAGTGTGTCTCAGATTGCAAGGTTATGGCAAGGTTCTGGCAAGCAAAATACAAAAAGTAAGAAAAAGCAGAGAAGAAACTGCAGTTATTGAATCAATTTCTTGATGTTAAAGCTATAGAATACCTTTAATTAGTGGGAACAGTTTCAACCCTCCAGAGTAAAGTTTTACCATGGTCAGAATTTGCAGTTTGTTCTCATTTGCCTTACAGCAACAGTTTCCTCTAACTCAGAAGGAATGCAAAAAGTTTGAGAAACCCTGCTAGAAGACTACATATTGTGAAAGCTCGCAGTTTGTCATGTGATGGAAAGAAATAAATTCCTTTTATGTCAAGCCTTAACGCTGTGACTTCTATGTGAGCTTTCAGTAGAATTAGTACTTGTCTTGCACTTTTTAAAAACTGTTTACTTGAGATAGCACATGTCCCTCCTTCATATGAAATAGTAATTGTTCCTTACGCAGAGTGCTTCAAATATAACTTCTCTAAGCAATATTCAGAGAGGAATTATAGCTACCTATCCAGAAATATAAATATCAGCACTAATAAATTATCCTTATTTCTTCGTTTTCTGCCACTCCAGTTTCCAACTAAGTCTACAAACAACTGCATGGAGAGAGCTACCACTGCCCCAAAAAAGAGCTGTCTGGAAGAGCTTAGATCCACGTAATTTTGTGAAAGATACATATATTGCAAAAACCACATTCAATCTCTGAGTAAAATGGAAATAATAGAATTGTATTTCCATTTTAGCCTGACAAAGCAAATTCTAGAATAAGTAAATAAAGACAAACGCAGGAAGTGTGATGTATGGATGCTTACATTTTCAATGCAAATACCAAAATTTCTGGGCATGCTGCTCTGAACAGTGTGTTTGATGTTGGTGAACATCAGCTCTTGGATAGATTACTGCACTTAAAGAAACGCAGATGCTTCTCAGAAATCACATTCATCTTGTCCTTTTGGAGCAGAGAGCCCCAGGGTGATTCCTTTCAGTCCCCCACCTTTGCTGCTTGTAGCGTCATATGAGGACCAAGGTGAGAGGGAGCCACAAAAGGCTAACAGCAGACAAATATTCCTTAGAGAGAGGGCACTTATGCCTCGGAGGGTGTACACAAGTGATGCAGTTTTTGAGCAGCCACCACATGACTCAAAAGTGACCCTCAGAGATGCTCCAAAACTGGATCCCCAGCGCTCAAAAGGTAGGACCAAACAGAGCAAAATGGTTGGATCTGCACTCCATGACGGAAAGCACATAGCTCACGTATGTTGGAAGCTCTCGTTCCACGAGGTATCACAATGCTGGCCTGGAAAAACAAGTAAACTATTCAATTTTAAGTAATAGCTGCATGCAAGTGGTATATTTATGAAACTGTGTACCCACAGAAGGGAAGGTAACTCTCCCAAAAGTAGGTACAGTAGAAACATATATTCAGCTGTGAAAGACAGCATACTGCCCTCAGGGACATCAGCTATGGCACTCTTACTCAATTCAGAAATCAGGATGTTTGTGGATAGAAAACAGTATCCACTTTCGCTTCAGGTAAGTGAAAATAATTGTTAGAGAGTTACAGATCCTAACATTAATCAATGCAAACAGTGCTGTAACAAAGCAAAACTGTATCTGAACTATGCTGTGCTCATTCAACTAAGGTAAGACAGGAAGACATTTTCATTATGTTGCGCATACTTCAACATTTTCAGTAAGCTTCTGCTCTGCTGAACTCAGAGCAGTTCTGTGCTGTCCTCCTGGAGCAAACGTTTCTGACCACAGCTAAATGGCTAAAGCATTAATTTTCCTTTAATTTTCCATCCACACTTCTGCATCTTCAATTAATGTGAGAGCTAGTGCTAATATTTAGACATCTAACTGCCTGCTTCCAGATATAGATAGATAAATGAATGTTTAAATTGTGTGCTTTCTCCTCTAGTTCAAGGTAGCTGGACTTCTTTTTACCTACAAAGGACCAAAGGAACAATTTTGTGAATTAAAATAGTATCTGTTCTCCTTTTCAAGAAAATGCCTCACTTTTCTGATGAGCTTTTATTTTAGTTAATAGGGCATAAACACGATGATGAAGCGTATCACAAGCTACACAGTCTAATAAACTGGATTAATAATGGTCTTCCTGCCATTACAAAGCCCCACACTTTTGAGTGAGTGACATGCGTTATTGAGCTGTCTGAAGCAAAATGGAAGACACAATCGATCTGTGTTGGAAACTGCCTCCCCTTTACAATTAGCCTAGTTAGCGGCATTAAGCCTATCTCTCTGCCCTGCTGTATTGCCGTTCCTGCTGGATATTTAATGTTGTATTCCGGTTTATTCTCATTTTGCCTGGGCGAAAAGTGTCTACACAGGGGAAATTCAGAGAAATATCTGATAATATATTCTAGGGTATGTTCCTTATTGTCCTTTTTAAATATTCTAGTAGCTACTCCATTATCTCTAGTTCACAGCGTGTGCAAATTGCTGCCTCAGGCTGTGGCACTGCAGAAAATTGGCCTCTCAGGTTTAGAGCCTTGTCTTCATCCTCACACACATTTGTCATAGCTGTATCTACACAGACCAGTTCTCTGACCTGAAAATACATCAGGAGAGGTAGAGGAAGAACTTCTGTGGAACACTAAAAGGGCACATTTGAAACATTTAGTTGCTAAGCAGCATTTTAAATCAGACACAAGCATATTACCAAATAGAGAACGCACTTCTAAGACAGCAGCCCTTCAAACAACTCATTTTGCCCATTTTTTTTCAGTAGGCAACCAAAATTACAAGGATTACGGATTAAAAGTAGCCAGTTTCCAGATACCTGGAGAAATCAGTTCAGTTTGGGACAGCCCTGCTTAGATAAAACAAGTTACAAAAAAATTGTACTTGGCAACAGCTTTTTCCCCAGTAATTCTGTTCGTGCTCCTAGTGGATATTTCTGCCACTTCAGGTATTTTGTTTTATATTTAGGACTATTTACAGTAAGTAACAATAGCTAAAAAAAAAAAAAAAGATTTCACACACTAATATAATGCCCTTATGTTAGATTCTGATAGGATGTCGAGCCTAATTGTAATTCCTACACTTTGAATGAGGACTGCTTTTATGTAACACTGAAAATCAATCCGGGCAACTTCCGTAATGTATTTAGCACCCGGGTATACAGTTTTCAGATATAGCTAGTACAATGATCAATAACTTGGCACGTTGTTGTTATGCAAGAGCAAGTGACATATGGCCAAGTATCTGCACAGTATAATTAACCACTAATTTACAAGAGAAAGAAGATAGACTGTTGCATTAAATTAGCTAGACTTCTTTTTGACTGGCAGGTGGCTAAGTGCTGAATGCTTAATATACTTTTTGTAGATTTTGTTCTCCACAAACATAATTACTGTAATTAACACAGATCAACCATGACAGCAAAACTATCATTTTATTTATCAATACAGTAGTGTATAAAAAGTTAGGTTTTATCAGTTTTTATTAAGCATCTAACCAACACTTCCCTTTTACTATGCATTACGTTAGTCAACGTCCACTTACAGTACTTAGCAGAAGGACCAAATTTTCGTGTAGTTACATATAATTTTATTTAGTTAATTCTGTCACTGTCCATATAACAGGAACAGAAATTTTCCCCAAGAAATAAAAATTGGGATAGATTAATGACTTGTCATTAGGATTCATGAAACTTGCACGTACACCTGCCCAACAAGTACAGCAATATGTGAAAAGTGATACAAGTGTTTTATGTTTGCTGTTGAAGGAGAGACAGTATTTTTGGTGACATGCTCCTTCTGAGGGCGTTTGCTGGATATCAGTCTAGAGGAACCAGTCTGTGTGAGCACCCTGATCCTCCTTTTTGACTTTTTTTCCATCATCTTCCATATGAAAGCCTGCTGTTGTAGATGCTCAGCATTTTATTTGACTTGACATTTTGATTTGCATATAGTATAGACTACAAGAGGTGACTTTGACAAGGCTAGGAGAGTTTGTCCTAGCTAAAAACTTGCCCACTGTGTGAGCTGATTTTCAGAGAACTTTAACAAATGTGGTCAAATTGGATCACTGTGAGGCATCTTCCTTCTGACTGTTAGAGGGACACATACAGTGACTTCAGGTGGAGTCACAAGTGCACCAGACCTTTGGATTGTAACCCTACCATGCTTCACATTGTGCATCCAAGTAATGAAAGCCACCAAAATAAAAGTTTCATGCAAGCACTTGCTTATAGCACAGCACAGGAAAAAAAAGATGGATGTTTCCATTAGGTTGGGTTGAAACCTCAAGGAAATTTAATCTGTTGCGATAATTGAAAGCTTAAAGGAGATTAGCCACTGACCTTCTGCTTCACTGCGTTGTTGTTCTTAATATAAGAGTCCAGGATATTCAGACCATGTACCATGGCATCTAAATTAGCCTATGGATTTTACTCTGGTGTCTGTGGTGGAGAAAGATAAACTATTTAGACCATATATTACCTAGGACTGCCTGACCTTTCACTATCAGTACAAAGAAGCAGCTGTGACAGTAACTGCAGAATCGTATCCTTACCATACATTTTGCTTTGGCCTTTGAAAGTAGATTGCTATGTCCTTGTTCTGACTGACCATGGGATGGCAATGTCAACTTTCCTCAAAACTATGGTGAAACATTTGTTTATGGTTGCTGGTTCTGACCCCCTTTCCTATTCCTTCCCCTTTGTGGTTTTTTTTTTTCTCTCTCTCTTTTTATAGCTAAGGAATCTTAACACGTATTTTAATTTCCTATGAAAAAGTTGAAATCAGTTTTGTCCTCTGATAATTCAGTCCATCCCAAAGACTTTGATCCCAGTAGATTTCACACTGGTTCCTTCATGCAGTTCCTTACAGGCTCTCAAGTTAATCCCAGTGTGGTTTTTAAGACAGTTATATGCCCAATGCCAGCTTTGCATACAAGGTTTCTCCCCTTCTTAAGAGGCAAATTCTGCCCCTTTGAATAAAATTTCTTTGTATATTAGTTCTCCTGCTTTCTCTCAAGCCAATAAGCTTCACTATCCAGCTATCTTCATTTTAAGTTTACCCTTTGGAAATAAGAAGTCCTTTCATTCCAAGTCTGTTTTTTATCCTTCTCTTTTTTTAAAAAAAGCAAAGGGTTATTTTCTATAACCATAGATGTGTAAGTTTTTGCTGCTTACTATACATAAAATATGGTGGCTTACATACCAGAAGCACACTCACATCAGCATAGTGCCCAGCTAGGGCTAACTTTTTTTTTTTTTTTTTCAGTTTCAGGGATCTGCTCTGCCTGGCAGTATACAACGTAAAAAATGCCCGAAGTCTAAAGTAGCACCTTCTATTCTTGATTCAGGGCTATTTTGTTGAAATCTGTCAGCAGTAACTTCCAGAAGCAATAAGGACGTACAATTATTGACGGAATTTATCTTCCAATCTGTATTAAAAAATGTAAGTCTCTCCTAATTCATGTCAATAATCCTCTGCCAAGATTACAAATCTATCCATATTTATATCCTCAAAGGCTTAGAGCAGGCCTGTAACACTATCCTACTAAAACCATTTTTACTGCCATTCGCCCAAGAGATTTTAGCCCAAAGACCGTATTGTCATTTTTTATTTGGTTAGTCACTGCACTGTTGGTGTACAACACTGTTCCCCCAACCTTGCCTTTATCTGCGCCATGCCTCAGTACCATGGATCTCTCCATACCCCTATTACATTTATAAAAGCTATTCCATTGTGTTACTTCTGTAGTAACCAGCTTCACGTACTGCATAAGTGGTCTCAGTTACTTTGTCCTGGTATGCAAACTGCTGGCATTACTGAAAAAAAGAACTTCTAAGCTGTATCTTTCCGCCCAAACCAGTGAGGCAATCTGGAATTTTTTCTACCGAGACCTTTCTCAGAGCCAGATCTGCACCTCACTCTCAGTCTGGGTGGCTAGATCACCTATTCTACTGCCACAATGGGCAGCTCTGCTTTGTTGGTTCTCCATCATGTCAGACCTGCCCTTCCATGGACCTCGTGAACCACAGCTTCCTGATTCTCCTCGTTGATTGATAACCACAGGTCTTGAGATGCCGCCACAGCCTCCAATCCTCCATCCTTCATATCAGACCTTTATAAGGTCAGATCTGACCAAAAGCCTTTGCACTGTCTCTTCCATAAATTCTCTGGGATATCCATCTTATCGCTAATACATCCTCTGGGTTCTCTTAATACCATTGTTTCCTCCGGTTCAAGAAGCACATCAATAGCCATCCTACTGACCACTTCTTTAAGAAAGCAAATATTCTTCAAATTCCCCCATTTTCTGCGCTTTTTTTGGCTTAATCCTGTGACAGAAACATTCCAGAAGTTCTTGACATTTTGGCTCCAGGTAGCAGTTATGTTTTTCTTAACACCAAAGCTTGACAAGAAAATCATCATGGCTTAAACATAAAGAACAGAGCACAGCTGTCTGTACTGCAGATACATGCCCTTCTATCCCCACGTTAGGTCATTTCAAAATTGATTTCCTCTGTTTGTTAGTGAGGTATGTAATAGTATTCAGGATGCTCTCCAAGGAGACAGAGACATACAAGAGAGATACAAGATCTGGATGGAGGGATGGAAGGGGCAGACCAGCAAGACCTGTCTGATGGGATGTTGCCTGCCTTTATAAGTCAGATGGGAGTAATGGGAGAAAAGTTTTCCTCCAAATGCTCTAGTAAGTTCTCAGCTTTATAGTCTCTCATTTTGCTCAGCTTCTTCATTCACTCGAGACTGTCTACAGAGACAAACAGATACTGAGGAAGTGTACTAGACATCTTGAACTACTTTTAAAGCTTCTGTTCTATTCTCCCATTCGCTTTGTTTCCCACAGCTGAGTACAAAGCATGCTTTAT